CTCTACAGGAGATTTTAATGTACAGAGGGTTGATTTTTTCCTCTCTTCCATCAAGCTATCCAATTGCATTTTGATTGTTTTAAGGGGTTGTTTTTTAGACCTAAGGCATAAAGTCTCCTCTGCTTTATTCCAGTTTATTTGTGCGTTTACCTCCCTAAAACTTGTTTGGTTTACTACCATAGTAAACGCTGTATGTGTTGCTTTCAGCCAGGCAAGTCTTATGTTTCAATTATGGAGGAGTTTATTCAGCACCTGTATTGCGTTGTGCTTCTTTTCAACTAAATTTCCATTTCCCAAAGGCTATACGGATGAATGTGTATACATCTCTTTTTCTGTATGTATACACACACAAATATATACATTTCTACATACATGGAAATACATCATCTTAACTGAATACTCGTTTTCACTGCACCTTTGAATTTCTGACATACCCAAAACCTTCATAAACATCCTCAGACTTAACAAGGTTTTAATTTTTCTATCATCTATCTTTGTAATCAAACAGAAAAGGATATAATGAAAGGAAGACTTGTTTCCCTACCCCAGAGGTGTCCAAAATTTCAAAATTATTTATACTTTTGAGAAGGCAAAGCAGTGAAAAAACTAAACTATTCTCTTCATACTGCATTTTTTAGCTGCCTTGAATGCTTGCAGAGTGAGTTTCGGGTCAGGTAGGAAAAATATCCTAACCACGGGACTGCAGTGGTGGATTTCAAGGAGGGTTTGGGGGGTTTGTGCTTTTTCCACCCCTAGAAAAGGGTTGAAAGAATGTTGTTGCTCTCAAGTCTGTGCAAGACTCCTGCTTTCCCAGTGCACACTGACTCCACTCTTTAAGTGAACTCGCCCGTGTGTGTTAGAGTAAATCTCAGTTAAGTGTGGAATGCTGATTTCTTCTGACTTCCTAAATAGAATATTATGGAGACCTGTGTGTTTTAAATTAAAACACTTTCCAGGCCTTGGGTACAAGCAAGCTTCAATAGAAAAGACTGTTTAAACCTATAGGGACAGTCCTATATTTAGATTACATTAATTCATAAATATTATACTAAATACCACTTAAATTGGCCTTAAATGACTTCAAAGATAATGCATTATAATATGGCTGTCCTGAGAGCACTAACCTTTATGTCTCCCAGTAACTCAGCCTTTAAGCATACTCCACTGCTAGATAAGATGGAGGGAAGTTATGAATGAATGTCTTGCTAAATTGTTAAAGTGTGATTAGTTAACTCTGTGCATGTGTGTGCGTGTATGTGTGAGTGTGTGGGTGGGTCAGCTCAGCCCCGGTAGATTTCTACCCGTGGATCTCAGCACACAGCCTCTTCCCAACCCTAGAGCAAAGTAACACAGCAGGCGCCTGTTCCTGCCCCGTGTGGAGAGAAGCGAGGATGGGGGAAATATGCAGCAGCTATACTCGTGCCATGAAAGCTTATTTTCTCGGGGATCTGGCAAGCCTTTCTCGCCTTACCCCACATGCTGCTTCCCCCGTACCCTTTCTCTCTTTGCGTATCTGCAAGAGAATCATAATCCTCTGCCTCTTCCCTGGTATTTGTACTGGTATCAGCCAGAGCTGCTGGTGAGAGAATCTAGAACTTCACTCTCCTGATAGTTTTTCTTGGAGGGGGGCAGAGTCATGTAGTTTGTCTTCAGGTTCTTAATTTTCAATTTCCTCCTGCTATACAGGGGCACCGCAATAGGATCTCTTAATAATATTTTCAAGAACACACATCCTTTGCTCTCATTTCAATGGATTTACACCTGAAATTACTCTGGTTGCTGGGTTTTTACTTTAAGCTAATTTCAGTCTCTTCCCTCCTCCCAGCACAAACCCACTTTCTCCCCCTCCACACCCAAGGTTTGCTCTCCGTACACTTAAATAAACTACAGCCTACTATTAACCCTTCAGGGTATACCACTGCCACAGCCTCATCCCCTGAATTAGGAATGAAATAAACTGAGAGTGATGGATCAATTAATGTATAAGCATTATGCATCTCTTATGGAAAGCATCTTGGGGTTTTGTATTGCCAACCTACCCCTGTGAGCCAAGTTGGACTATCTTTATGCAATTCTTCACCTATGCCTGCAAAGCAAAGCCAAAATAAGGAGAGCTGAGTGAATACAATGCTTCACATGACTGCATTTAGAGAAGGGAAAAGAGAAAAAAAATAGATTAAAAATGAAATAAAATGAAATAAAATAATAATTAAAAAAAAAGCCAAACACAATCCTCATCCTTCAAAGCCCCATCACGCTTTTTGACTTAATAGTAATTAATCACTACTGGCAAGAAAGTAATTTTTTTCCAGGTAGCCAGAGGCACATTTTTATCAGGATTAGCTAATAAATCAGCAGCATCGCTAGAAAGGAGTTCAAACTCTTCTCAGATGTACTAAATAAAACCGATCTCTGAAATGCTGGCAACTCGGTGTCTCTTGAAGCTTCACTCAAACCCTAGCCTGCAAAATAACAATCATCATCATCATTTTTCATTACAAAGTCCAAAACTTCTAGGAGGTTAAAAATGACTGTTTGTTTTGAGATGAACTCATGCAATCTGGTTTGATGAGGTGACAAGATTCCCCACCTGGCTTTTTTCCTAGGTTGCAGCTTTAGAACAGAAATGAAATGAGGGAAATGAAGTTAGTATCTTGCTTAATTCAGGGATATGTGTTAAACACATCCAAGCAAGATAAATGAGCCCTCTCTCTCCTCGCTCTCTCTCTCTCTCTCTCTCTCTCTCTCTCTCTCTCCCTCTCTCTCCCCCTTCCTGAGTTTGTCTCTGTGAATACAGGCATACAGTAAAAGGAAAACTGAACTGAAAGAGGGAGAATTCACATCTATGAAACGGAAATTAAAGTTAGCGCATAGACTGATTAATTTCAAGTTTAAGATAAAACATAGCAAAAGAATAAAATCTCATCAACAAATCAGAACAACCTCCCACCACCAAAAAAAAAAAAAAAAAAAATTAAATACTTTATCTAGGTGTTAGCTCAAAGATTTCCTCTACCGTATGTTGAGTGATTCTCCTCAGTGTAGCTTTTACTGCTGTTATTTTTATTTTATAGAAGCTTTAGATGATTTTTTGAAAACACATGCACACACACACGAGCTCAGTGGCTACTATCACTATGAGACAAAATCTCCCAGGACCTTTCCTTCCCTGCACTTCTTGCTATTATTTTTACCATTAGTATGAATAATTGTTATAGTATGGGTGGCATGTTTAAATGATGCCAATCAGACCTTGATGTGGTTTCTAGGAAGCTAGTCTGGAAAGAAAGCAAGGTTTGAATGAGCTACACTGATCATTTTAAATATGAGAGTGGTGTTTGGAGAAACCGGCAAAAAAGGATGGGAGAAATATCCTGTAACTTAGCTTAAGTGCCTGGTCCCTGAGCCCCAAACATTTTCTCTAACCTGTGTAAAATCAGTACTTTGCACTGTCAGGGTATATTTTCACTCGCATTTCCTGAGAGTGAAAGCAAGGAGGGGAGTGAGTGGGAAGGGGGAAGAGATGCCTGCTAAACATGCCATTAAGTTCAAGATTTACAACTTGCCAAGGCATCTGGAAAGCTGGGAAGCCAGTAATGCCATTACCCGTGACTGTCACTGCCAGGAGTCCACCAGGCTGGACTAGACGCTGGTACTGAAGCTGTCCTGTAAAAGATGCAACTTCCACTCTCCCCATGGCCCCGTGCAAAACGCTTTCTCCTCCTGCACTAAATCTGGAGTCACACCCCAATCACTTCTGATGTGATCTTTTTCTTTTATCTTTTCTTTTTTTTTTTTTTTAAATAGATATCTATATCATATACAAACATGTACACACACATACACACACATATACAGACTATAAGTTAATAAGGTGACTCATATCACTCTTGGGTCTCTCCTGCTTCTAAGCGGAGCTACCATGCAAATTACCTTCAACTTCCTCCCCGCGAGTCCTACTTTCCTACCCTAGGATCCAAGCATCTCTCCCTCACTACACACACAGTCCCCCACCCCCAAAACGTAGCACCATCTAATCTGAAATGCACCTCCGGAGAGCCTAAGCTAAGCAGGGAAATGAGCGGGCAGGGATGGAGCGAGCGAGGCATTGCATGGGGAGTACATCTCCACTGCCTTTAAAGAAAACCTAAAAAGTTCCCGGGCTGGACTTCGGGAACATTAAAGTAGCCTGCTCAGAGACTTCTCCCCTCTGGAACTAAACTGCCACCTGTCCCTCCTGGCTTGCCTTCTCCGACACACACACATACAGGGATTTTGTGCACACACCCCTGCCCCGCTTGAGATGGGCTTCTTTATTGTTGTTTATATCCCTGCTCCCACGCTGAATAGAACAAAAATGAAATAACCTCCCAGAGCAACTCACTCTCCTCCACCTCTTTCTTTGAAGAGGACTACAAATAATAATTGTAACAGTAGCAAAAAAAAAGTATTACCTGGGGAGGGGGAAAAAAAAAAAAAAAAAAGAAGAGAAAAGAAAAGAAAGAAAAAGGAAAGGCGCCGGTGCCAGTTGCAGAAGAGTTTTAAAATAGGGGTTCCCAGCAAACCCAGGGACAGACAGACGGACACGCACACCCCTGGGCTGATGATGAGCGGCTCCCGAAGGTAAATACGGAGCACCCGCTCCCGCTTCAGCACCGCGGACAGCTGCCGCCGGCCCCGCGCCCGCACCGCCGCTCGCCCGGAGCTCCCCGGGAGCTGCCTCTCACCCCCCCAAAAAAGCGGGGAAAGAAATAAAAATAGTAATAAATAAGCCAAACGAAGCTGAGTCCCTGCCCTGCCTCTCGCTCTTCTCTTCCCAGGATGGGTCTATTATTTCTTTCCCTGCCCCCCCAGCCTGCCGCCTCCGCCCCCGGGCCAACCAAAAATGAAATAAAATGAAATGAAATTGAAAGGAAAGAGAGAAAGAGAGAGCCAGGGAGGGAGAGGGAGCCTGCCTTCCTCTCCCGATCTCTCCCGGGAAAGTTCAGGAGGTAACTCACCTTTGTGCATGCCAGTGAACCTGTCCTTCAGCACCGTCAGTTCATAGATCTTCCCGAACTCCTCGAAGAGCGGTTTGAGGTCTTTCTCGTCCAGGTTACGGGGGATCTGCCCAATAAAGAGCTTAATGGCATCGTGGTCCTTCATTGGGATGGTGGATGGGTTTCCGGGACTATGGTTTAATCCGTTCATATGCCCGTTGGTGCTGGGGTTGCTGTGATTGCTACTCAGGCTGGTATTGTCTGGTTGTCCGTTTGCTAACGTGGCCATCTTTATATACATAGAGAAAATCTTCTTTCCTTTTTTTCCCCCTCTTCTTTTCTCTCTCCCTCCCTCTCTCTCTCCCTCTCTCTCTCCCTCTCTCTCGCTCTCTCGCTCCCTCTCCCTCTTTCACACACACACACACACTCACACACACACACACACACTCCTCCCTCTCTGTCTCTCTCTCTCTCTCTCTCTCTCTGGGTCTGATCTGATTTTTTTTTTACATTGAAGATCTGTGTCCTTTCCGTTTAAACAGGCTGGATCGGTTCAAATTCCCAGCCAGACTAGGGGGTGGGGTGTGAGTGTGTGGATGTGTGTGTGTACGGGGAAGGGAGGCTAGGGGTGGGGGATTGCTTTTGCCTCTACTCTGGCTAAACCCCCTCCTCCCATCCAACCACCCCCCTGTCTGTCTGCCCGGCAGAAGCTTAATGGTATCTTCCAACACAGCCCCTGGCTATAAATAGCACTAGGCGCATGGCTCTTTGAGAGACAGTCAATTTCTATTGTGCCAAGTGAGCAAAGGGGAACGGTTGCGTTTTTAGGACCAATGATGATGATTTTTTTTTTCCTTTTCCTTTGCAAGCCCTCCGATCAATCGCTGTCGTTATAATTTCAGTGATCATCGGGAAATCTGCCTTTTTATTTGAGAGGGGGAAAAAAAACAAACCCAAGGTGTTCTGACTTCTTTCTATTATTGTGTTGCCTCTTACTTACTATTTACTCTTGTTCTATTTCGCAAATGATAATAAAAGCAGTTCAGATGCGGATGAATCCCCGGGCTCAGAGGTTGCTTTTGCTGTTGTTGTTGTGATTGTGATGTTACAAGCTCTCTTTACTATATCTGTTCTTGTTGCATCTAAAAAAAAAAATGCATGCTCTTTAAGCTTTTTTTTTTTTTTTTTTTTTTTTTTCTAATAGATTATGCCGCTGATGATGACATCAAGCTAGGAAAGCACAAACTATATTATTGTAGCTCTTCGAAGGGAGATGAAAATTATCGAGATGACTGTTGTTAATTTTCGTGCTGCTGATATTTATTTTACGTACAGTCAGTGCGGGCGTTATCTCCTATACGGTCTGTGTGTGATGTGTGTGTGCGCGTTTGTATATTGAAAAGGAATTGATTAGATAAGATTTTCTTGCCCGACTTTCAAGCCATCAGGACATTCCGTCTGTCTCTGATGGAAACATAAATCGCATTTTGTAGTCATCAGTGATCGGGAGTTGCTTGTCCGAACAATGCTCTCTAGACAAAGTGTACTGTATGGTGGAGACGAAATCAGCTCTTCTTTCATAGCATCTGGGGGTGGGGAGGGCAGGGAGCCTCGGATTAAGGACACAACTCCCCCTTGTCCCCCAAATAATAATAACAGTAATCCGGACAGTAACAAAACAAGGCTCTGCGTGTGCTCAGAGCAGTTTTTTCCTTCCTTTTCTTTTTTTCCTTTCTTTTCCCCCCCTTTTCCTTTTCTCCCGTTCCCCTGCTTCCCGTGCAAGCTGTGCGGGGATGAAGCTCGCAGAAACACCAGCAGGCGAGCTCGGAGCAGCCTACGAGTTACCTGGCCTGAACCCCCGCTCCCCTCCCGGCCAGGCTGCATCCACCGGACCCCCGACTATCCCCCCGTATCCAGGGGGTTGCCCCGCAGCTCCCCGCAGCCCCCCAGCCCCTCGGGGCCACCCGGCTATTGTTCCCGGCGCCGCCGGCTGATCCCCGCGGCGGAGGCGACGGCGGCCCCGGGGAGTTGGGAAGGGGGGCCGGGGGGAGCGGGCTGGGAGCGGGACCCCTTCCTCCCCCGCGGCCGCCCGTCCCCCGGGAGCGCAGGTAACACGTGCGACTGTAAACGGAAGGGGCAGCCGTGGAGGAAAGGAGGTTATTAGTTTAAAATTTCAAACCTTCCTGCGCGTTTTATTGATCGGAATTTATATATATCTATATCTATATATGTATATGTATATATATATTTAATTTCTGTTTTAAAAACAAACAAACAAACAAAAGGAGCAAGCTTTGCCACTTTTTTCACTTTATTTGGCTTTTTTTTTTTAATAACAGAGAGGCAAGGCAGTATCCTACCCACTTCTCCCCCCCTACTCCCCCACCATCCACCTCCCTTTTGGAAAAGAAAAGAAAAAAAAAAAAAAAAAAAAAGAAAAAAAAAAAGAAAAGAAATAGAGAAAATCACCCCAGTGAAGGTGGCTCGGCTATTCCAACTACTCCTGCGCCTGAAAGTGAGTGCTCCCGTGCCCTGCCAGGAGAGGAGCGGGGATGGATGGCGGGGGCGGCGGGGCTGTGCCCCTCCCCGGGGCCGCTCCCGGTGGGGGAGCGCTGCGGGCGGGGGGCGGGACGGGCCCGGCCCCGCGGAGCCTCCCGTCCCACCCCCGGGGTCCGCACCTGGGGGCGACACCCGCTCGGAGCCCCCAGCAGCCTGCGCTGCTTTTCATGGCTCTCCGAACATCTCCGGGCGCTGGCGGGCAGCAGCGCCTATCGGCCGCCGGGTGCCGGGCTGGTGGCAGGCACCGCGCATTGTCTGCCGTCTGGCCAGGCATGCCGTGTGTTGGGGTCCAAGCGGCGGTGTGTGCGTATGTGTGTGGCGGGGGAAGAGTTTGTCCGTCTTCCTTTCCTAGGCGCACACCGACAACCTTTAAAGGCTACAGACGCGGAGATATGACAACCCAGGAGCTGCTGGGAGGCTAAAACCCTCCTCAGACAGCCCCACTCCCAAATTCCCAGCCCTGTGACTCACCTGTTTTCAAATCCTGCCTTGTGCCCTGGACTGTGATAGAAGAATGACAACAAAAACAAAACCCACATGAAACAAAGTCTTTCAGTTACCCCCCCACACACACATACAAACACCAACATTAAAAATCCTAATATCCGCTCTTTCTGATCCCTAAAACCACACCCATTATAGAACTAGGAGGACTCACTGAAAGATCTAAACCCTTTTTTAAAGAGGGAATATCTACTACAGTGAAAAGTGAAACAGCATCCGGCACTGATCCATCCCAGGGATAGCTCTGTTAACACCTTGTCCATAAGCAGGCCACTCTGCCTGCAATCACGGCTTATCCCAAATGAAAGCCAATTAAAACAACAGGGCAGCAGAAAAAGTCATTTTGCTGCTCAGTGCGTGTGTCCCTTTTATAACAATCGCTATTTTTTGAAACTTTGAGCTGGTCCACGCCCCGTTTTCACAGCGCTGTAAGTATAGACATTTAGAAATGGATGCTGTTCAAGTACAGCCCCCTGGTGCACAGGCACAGCTGTGAGGGGTGGCAGGATGAAATAATATGGACACAAATATTGCTACAAGGGCTCCGAGATGAACACAGCTGCTGCTGTGGGTGGAAATAAGCTATACCCCATAAGCACCTTTACACATGTACAAGGGGCTGTGCTGGATTTTAAAAAGATACAGGCAAAGGAGGAGTGAAATTGTTATCTATAAACCAGCCTTTGCTGAACAGTTCCCAAGTGAGAAATGTTCCCTGTGTAATCACAGTGGGTCCAGTTCAGCAATCCATAAGCAAGGAAGTCCACAGGAATTTTGTAAGAATAAGGTCTTTTGTAACAGGCTCCAGTTTCTCCCAGAGAATAAAAATTATTTATCTGCTTGGAACCAAAATAAAGCAAATAAAGCACTTTATTTTTTTTTTCCCTTTCCTTTTTGCTTTTCTATTTAATGTGTCTACTTGCAGAGAAAAAACAGTCCCCTCGCAAACCCATTCACAGCCCCATTTTCTCCTGCTTCCCACTCTGGTGAGTGTCTTTCTGATTTTGGTTTGTTTGCTTGTTTTGTTTTGTTTGGTTTGTTTTGTTCAGAACAAAAACACTATTTATTTTGGGGGTAGATTGCCAGTAATTTTTACCTCCTCAGAAAAAATATTACCCCAAATCAGCACAGCTGGGAAAATGCACCGGCATAGCCAGGCCAGGGGCAGAAGGATGCAGCAGGACCAGCCACAGGTATACACACTCACCTCCTGTGAGAAAGGGTTTGCAGACCAGGCTTTGGCTTTTAATGTGCCTTTCAAAGGGTTTGATTGATTGCTGCTAATCCTGTGAACAACTTCGGTGTTGTTAACAGGACTGCCCGCATTAAGTAAAGGTACTCGCATGCATTAGTATGCTCCTCGTCCCCATGACGTCAATAGACAGCTTTCCAATGACTTCCAGGAGGGCTGGATCAGGCCCTTGCTAGCAGCAAGTTTTTAATGAACACCGTTTGGTGCAGGCAAGGGGGGCACAGCGATACATCAGTCCTGACTGTCTTCATTCTCCGGGAAACGAGCAAGTAAAGAAGAAAGGCAGGAATAGGCCGAAAGGTTGCTGGAGGGGGATTCTTCTGCTGAACTTCAAGCTCCTGGACCCACAGCACACAAAACCATCAGTGGCTGTAGGATGTAAAAAGAATTGCAGGCAAGTTCTGTATTAAAAAAAAAAAAAAAAAGGTGTGAATTTTATTTTTAAATAGATAAAATAAATAGCAGGCAAGTTTTGCTTCAAGTAAATAAACAATATGTGTGATTTTTTTTTTTTAATAGCAGTGTATTCTTCTTTAGATCTAGTTAGATATATCAGCTCATATATTCACAGATTTTCTGCTATCTTATTAGGACTTTTTTTTTTTTTTTTTTTTAATGACATGAGACTGTTAATAGCAAAGGCACATGTCCTGATCTCAAATCAGATACATCTTTCAGCTTCTATGAAAGGGCCCGATCCTGCCAAGTCTTCTAACTCAGCTGGAATTGTTTACTTCAGCTTGTTAGGCTTTGCAGGGAGTGCTGACACGATCAGGGCATATTAGCTATGTAATCAAATGAAATAATTGAGACCTGCATGTGGACCTCTTAATACCTCTAACAAAAGGAGAGGGACCATCACCCTCTAAAATTCGGGTGAGAACCCAGGCATCAGGGGATGGGCCCGATCCTGTAAACCTTAATCTGCATTGTTGTTAATCAGTGTGCTGTGGTCAGAAGGATTATTCATCTGAGGAAGGATTACCCATGTGAACATTTGCAAGATTGGTCCCTGAATTAAAGCCTGAATCAGTATGGGTTGTTTTTTTGATTATTTGTTTGTTTGGGGTTTTTTCCTCCGCCTTAGTTAGAATCAAGAAGGTTGACTGAGGAGAGAAATGAAAAATTCTTTGCATCCAAAGGAGCTTAGCACAGGATTGTAGTGGATGTAGGCAACAAAAGGTATCACTGTTATAGAAAAAGAGTTTGTTTGTGGAGTCATTTTGTTATTAAGTAGCACTGGTGAGTTTGGGGAGGCTGCATAGAAACTCAGGGTTAAGACAGGACAGAAAAATAGAAGAGT